AATTTGCTTCCATAAACACAAACTCAACGTGTATAGGGAAATAAAAATAACGCTGCGCTTCTTCAGATATGAAAAACACTAGTTTAACGTCAAAATTAAGCGAATTTCGAGATCCATAGATATGATGGTGTAGCAATGAATCGAAGGGGTTGCGGAGACTCGTGTGGTGTGCATTAGTCGTTGGGGCTCAGTCAGAGACTTAGGCTGGCAGCTAGCACAGAGCCAAGGGCGAGGCAACAAAACTAGCATAATCAATGCTGATGTAGTAGCATGAGCCATCACATAGCGCTCTTCGCACGGATGAAGAAAGTCTTGATCATATCGAATCAGAGCGTCTGAGGTTCCACTAAACGGAACGCTAGAAACGCCCTGCTAATTTAGTTTTATCACGTCACGTGGCCTGTTTGTGTGTTTGAGCCACTTGTAACGAGCTGTCTTGCGTATTAGGAAAGGACGAAAGATGCAGGACGTTTTCAAAGCAACAGATTATTACCACATGTATTAGCATTTCCGGCGTGGAATCCTCGAGATGCATGCTTACATCAAGAATACTAAAGAATCTGGTGTCTTTGCTCTCAAATGCTCCTGCAAAAAGGAGAATGCCACTTTCACGCTTCTAGCCGTTTCGACTGTTCGCTACGTGGTATCCTTATCTCGCATCTCTTATCGTTCCCTTTCATATCGTATTCTTTCGCAACCGGGACTGAAAAGCCTCTATTTACTTAAAAAGCTGCAACGATTGTATGCTCGGTGTCTGAGTAGGCGTAGTTTAGGTAGCTATCCATGCAGCACTCAGGCTGACTATGTTATGCCAGTACTAAGGTCCTCAAAATCAGCGCATTAGTCTGGGTGAGCTCTGGAACCGTACACTTACGCTCTCGATAAACAATGCGTACCTCCATCGTCGCCGGTTGCTGTTGCGAAGCTCGTATCTATGGTACGCGTTAAAAAGACAAGTGGTCAGTCGAAAAAAACGAGGAATTGCTTTTGTTTTTTACCCAGAAGCATGTCGAAAACACACTCACTCGTTGAATCAAATTCACTTCAGCGCAGTGATAAGCCAGGTTGGAACGCAACAGGCTTGCCATTGCGATCAAACGTTTTTGCACCAGACTTGAAGTACTAAGATCATTAACTGTATGAATGATTTTTGCTTTACACTTACCTTTTGCGGTCACTAGCATAAATCACCATAAATTTTGCGTAAAGTAAATGAACAATTTACATTTAACGGTCGTTTTTTGAAAGTAACCTAGCTATAGAGCGAGCAATTTTCCCGCCAAAACTTTTAAGCGTAAGAACCATGCATACCTGGAGGCTGAATTTGAAACATTCAGGTTATATTTGGACAGGGAAAACTACCCTAAAATTTCAGCTCTCTAGTTTTTCTGGTTCCCGAGTTAGTACTTTTCCTGCCAAAACTTTCACATGCCCGTACATGGGTACCCCAAGTACCTGGCAAGCTGAATTTGAATTCTTTAAATCAGATATAGACGAGGAACATTCCCCTAAAATTTCAGCCTCCCAGCTTTTCTGCTTACCGAGTTGGCAATTTTCCCGCCAATCTTTCACGTGCTCGTACGTGGGAATCAAAAATATCTGAATGCTGAATATGAAATACTTAAGTTGTACTTGGATAGAGAATATTCCCCCAAAATTTCAGCTTCCTAGCTTTTCTGATTACCGAGTTAGTAATTTTCTCGCCAAAACCTTCACACGCCCTTACTTGAGTACCACGCACTTCTGAAAGCTGAATTTGAAATCTTCAACTTACATATGCACAGGGAATATCCCTGAAAGGTTTCAGCCCCTTACCTTGTCTGGTCCCCGAGATCGCTTTCTCGCCAAAAAACTTGCACATTTCTTTAATACGTCCGTATGCGGCACCCAGGCGTAGGCGAACGACGATATTAAAACGGGGAGGTCGCGCATGGTGTGGACACATACTCCCAAAGTTTCAGCCTTCTAGTTTTTCCAGTTCTCGAGTTGAAAGTGGGTGACAAAAAGTGCGAACACACAGACACACACACACACACGCACACA